TACAATAAAGCAACAGGTGCACTTTAAAGCCCCTTCCCCAGCAGCACATTCGTACCAACCTTTTACTGCCCACACCACCTTGCCCCCACCAGTCACCAGGAATGAAGCAAAGCACTGTGTAAGGTATGAGTGTCTGCAGTCACAGTGATGGATCCAGTAATGGAGCAAAGGAAAGGTAAGTATATACCAGGGAGGCGTCAATCACAGCAAACCTGTTGTCTCACCCTAAATGGGCAATGCGCGGGTTTCCATTATTATGTCCTTATTTAAATCCCTACCCATCACCCATTAGACTGAGGTTCCCTTTCCTGATAGTACAGGTAGCACAATGGAATTGCAGCGCCGGGATCTTTTGGCTTCACATGGAAGTTGCACGCTCATACTGTCTCTGAATGGATTTCTTTCAAATAACTGAAAACATACAAATAGGTGAAATGGCTTTGAAGTGAAGTAGCATCCAGCGTGTGGGCGCGATATCAGCGTATTAAGTGCAAAGTGCCCGGCACGATGTAGCTGAATGTCTGTCTCCTCCCTTTAAGAACAGAGGGAGACACAATTTTGTGATAGAACAGTGTGTAGGCAACACAGCTTCGTGAGGTGATCACTGCCACATGACGATCACCATCTGGAAAGTTTGGTGTTTGGCTCCTGGAACCGTCGCTGATAGTAACAGTCTGTACAAAGCAAGCATGCAATGCATGTGGATCAGTGGCGTCACAAGGGGGGTGTGGGGGTGCGGCCCGCACCCGGATGACACCATTGGAGGGGTGAGACCAAAATGACTGACAGTCGGTCATGGACTGAGAGCCCGACAGTTTCGAGAAGGAGGAGGGGACCCGGCGGCATACCTTATCTCGCCGGGTGACTGTCCCCTCCTCTCTCTGCTGGCGTCCATCACCAAGATGGCCGCTGGCAGGTATCAATAAGATTGCCGCGCATGAGTGGTGACGAAAATACCAACATTTTATGGGCAATAACCTCGACAGAAGACATACCAATATTACAGGAAGACCTGGATAAAATAGGGGGGTGGGCATCGGCACGGCAGATGAGGTTTAACATTGGAAAGTGTAAAGTTACGCATTCTGGAGTCAAAAAATACACAAGCGAGCTACTCATTACTGGGCGTCCCACTGGGGGAATCAGAGGTGGAAAAAGATTTGGGAGTCCTAGTGGAAGAATGGGGAAGAAAAGAAAAATAAGGAAGACAAAGAATACAAAGCCGGCAATGATCTAGAAGTATGTGTGTAGATTGTCATTACTAAACATTTCTAAAGGTGTGTTTGTTTTATTTTGAAGATAAGGGTAAAGTTCCTCTTTAATGCGCTATGGAGCTTGTTAGCGCTATACAAATAAAATAAACACATACAGTATTTCAAGGTCAGATCTACCAATTCTAATAATAAGCTTTTATCCTTCCTGATTGGCTGCTGCTCATCCATTGCTCATAACCAACCAATCCAGTGTCTGCTTTCATATTCTAACCTGTGTGTGAAAAACAACATCCGCGATCCCGGCAGCTGCACAACACCGCAACTGAAACAAAAATACAATCCCTTGAATTCATAGAGAGTGTCATAGATGCTCATTAGAAATCTGTTTCCCATCCATGCAACAAATGGCGCAATTTTTGACAAAATCGCGTAACTGTCTGTAAGGGCCCATTCACACCGGATCCGCTGTGTTGCAATCTGTTTTTCAGAAGGGACCCTGCGTGGCCCCGAAACGTTGGCTATATGACACATGTGACAATTTAATAAAAAGTGCTTTACTTCTTGCGCATATCATCGAGTGCTGGTGACTTCTATTATGGACTTTATCTGACACGGCGCCATCCGTGTTGTCACTTCAAGCGCCAACCTTCCATTAAGGTCTGTATGCTGCATGGAGTGCAGGTGATTTCGTATTACTGATTTCAATGGATGTTAACGAAAAGGGCACCAAACAATGAATGGGTGTCAATGGGGCTAGTGCACACAGCTACGTCCCCTTGCATGTGCATTCAAGGGACGTGCTGGGATCTGTAGTCCCACAGGAGCTGGAGACTGATTAATTGTCCATCTCCGCTGTTTACAACAATCTGCAAATCTAAAAAATTAAAAATGAAATAGGAGGTGATGAGAAAACGTTTCCACCTTCAGCCTGTAACGGCAGGAGGGTCTCTCCCCTCTCATGCAATGACGCAGCTCACTTCCTCGCAGTTTACAATGAGGCTACAGATGAAATCACGACAAGCATGTGAATATGCACTTTGTAACAGATATAGGTGTAAACCGCTTCATGTGTACATATGATATTTAACAGGACTTAGGCAGTTTTCACCCATAATTAAAGGGTAACGCCAGCCAAACAGAGTTTGCTTTACATACAGAGGTCCCATAGCTTACCATTCTGATGTGAATGCATATTACTTAAAGGAGAACTATGAGATGAGTAATTTCCACTCACCTCATAGTTCTAAGCCGACCTGTGACAATGAGACTGTCACAGGTCGGCTCAGTAGATCGGGAGGTGAGCGAACACATACCGGGTTCCCTCACCTCTCGATCCTGTCACGGCTCTCTGCCGTGACAGGGGAGGGGCTGGATTCCCCTCTCCCCGCTCCGATCCGCCAGCGCTGACTGGCGCAACGGACGGGGGAGGGGGCGGGTACAGCTGGCTCTGCCTCTAGATAGGCAGAGTCAGCTGTCACTCACGCAGCTGGGCGGATCCCGTCATCTACGTCGGGATCCGCTCCAGGTGCGGCGTCTCAGTATACCGCGAGCTGTGGCTCGTGGTATACTGAGCTTAGGGAAACGGGAGGACGCTATTTTGTGTCCTCCCGTTACCCTAAGGAGAACTATGGGGAAAAACACTGACCCCATAGTTCTCCTTTAAGCTACAGAGGTTCTTGTGATTACTCTACATCATATTTCAGTACAACTGCTGGAGTAAAAATTTTAAGAAATAATTCATACTATTGGTTAACATTGGGGGGAATGTACCAAAACTGGAGCAAACAGAATCTGGAGCAGTTGCCCATGGCAACCAATCAGCTTCTCTCTTCAGTTTACTCAGGTAAGATTTGAAAATGAGACAGAGAAGCTGATTGGCTGCAATGCATATCTGCTCCAGATTTCCCCTTACTGTTTTCATATCTGTCCCTCTAATCTCTGCTGCTCTAGGTACACTCTTTCTGCTGGCAGGAGCTGGCCCTTACAGGGGATCTTAACACTGGAGGCCAGTAGGATTGGCTCTCGATCATGTTATCACTGTGATTGGCTGTCACAGTGATCAGATGATCGGGAGCCTGTCCTACTGGCTACCGATGCTTACTAGATGAGTGAAAGCCTAGCGCTGATCGAGCACAACACAGGGACACTGGCCGTATGTATATATGTGGCAGCACGGCATAAGGTGCATCGGCGCTTACAGCCCCCCTGCAAAGTCCAAAGAATACCTGTTGATCCTGCCAGTGAAGTCCACCTGATCCAGATTCCTGTGATGGCATGGCAACAATGCTGCTCTGCTCATGAATTGAAAGCAAAGTTGCCGCTCTCATGTAGCCTGTGCCTGCTTGCACTACTGGGGGAGGAGAAGATGTTGCAGAGGGTGGGGCTATCAGAATTATCACTCCTTGTAGCTGGTCAATCAGCACCTGGCCATGCCTAGTCCCGCCCACTGCTTTCTGGATTGACAGCACTGCCTCTGTTGCTGAAACCCTCCCATCGTGAGCTGCAGTGTCTGGGAGGGGAAGCATGTGACACACAAATGAAGCATTTGCCTCACTCAGGGAAGTGCAAAGGAAGATTTTTGTTTACTTTAGGAGGCTTGTGCATCACAAATTAACTGGATGTGGGTCTTGGTTAGATTGTCACATTGGAGGCTAAAGTGTTATTTTAGGTCTATGAGGAGATGCTTCACTCCTATAGCAAGGGGTACAGTTGACTAAAATTTGACTTCAAACTCCATGCAAAAAAGCAAGGAACCAAGCACAATGAGATTTGTGGAGATACTCTGCACTCAATGTACTGTGTACCCAATGCCTCCAAATTACCATAGTTATACCATACATTACCATAGTTTAGGATGCAAGAAGTATTTTTTTGCATGTTACAATAAATTGGTTTGTGTAGGAATTACATATGCTGAAACTTTGGTGGAATGTCCCTTTAACACTGTAACTCGGTGCTGCTGCCCTGTCGCATTCCTTCTTATCTCCACCATACCACAGTTGTTTTTCTTCCCACTTGGTAAACATAACTAAGGCTTTCCCTAATGAGTGGAGGCAGCGGCTGTGGCCAGGAGGGATACAGAGAGCCAGTGTAAAAGCTGGGAGGGCCGCCCAGGGCCCACCGGCTGTATGGAAAGGGGACATCAGGTAGATTCCTTGCTGCATACCATCCATGTCATGCCTGGAACAACCAAGTCTTTGTATACCTGCCAGAGGCTCATGGTCAGAGGAAGCCGCTCTTTCCTATTGTTGTCATTCAGCTGCATATCTGTCATTTACAATGCGTACCCTCCAATCACATAACAATGAAAGAACAGAAGAAAAGGTGAGGCTGGCTAGAAATGGCCAATTATACAGGTATCATTTTTACATTAGACGTTCATTACCTGTTCTAAAGAGGCAAACAGTTAACATGCACAAGAATTACCCTTTTAATGCCCGAAACATTGGTTTTAGGATATAAATCTGAGTAAAATAGAATCTGGACTTTATATGTTCCTCCTTACACACCTTGTATAGTCAGAAAAAGGACTTCACTAATTCCTTGCTCATTTTTGCAGCTTGTTGTGTCACCTGCCTGCTCACTAGACAATGAATCCGTATATAACCAGGCAAAAGCATTTACAATGAACCATCAAATGGTGCTAAAACATGCCTGGCTGTGCCGTCCAGCAGTGGGGCCTGGATCCCAAGACTAACTAAACAGAGTTACAGATTTTTTGGCACGTGAACAAGATCATATACATGTATTTAGAAGTTTCATCACTAAGTACTTCTATTCTCTCACCTGGAAGAGGATCTGAAGTATCCCATGAATGGCGCACATACGTCTTCCCATGACAATGAAGAACGGCACTATCAGCTCAATGAAGTGGTTGACCAGGGTCTCAAACTGGTGGAACCACGCTGGGTTACGGTGCATGTAGTAGGCCAGAGGAGTGGGCACCGGTTGTGTCTGTAACAAAAACAATACAAGAGCATTAGAGGGGCCAACCTGTCCCAAATTGATCATCCAGTTTTGCGTAGATGACGGAGAATTAAGTCAACTGACATTCCTTTATAGCTAATTAGATAATAGAAATGAGAAAATAGGAACAATATGTCACTTATTAGACATGGCAAAATAGGAGAAATTCAAGAAAAAAATGGCATCTCGGTATCGCTAGCAGGGCTTCTGATATTTAGATATCTACACATTAGCTATGACCACCATAAAGTAGCCCCCATTAGACATGTCCACTTTGTTTTGTTCCGAATCAAAATTCTAACTAACTTTCCGAAATTTGGACACATCCGAATCTTCAAATCCCAATGTATCCAAATGTGTCGGAATCCGAACTTCCGTTTCTGAATTTCGGATCCCGTCCGAATGTCGTATAAAAACTAAACTGAATCGAGCATGTGACTTTTCTGGCCAATTACATGTGTTTTTCGGTTTGATGCATCCAAATGGGTCTGAACACGAATTTTCATTAAGGAAACATGGGAGTCATAGAGTATATGGCTCCCATGTTGCCGTAACGAAAATATGTGTTCAGTATATACATAAACTGATGCGCCTAGACCCGAATTCGGGATCCAAATTTCCGAATTGCATTTGGGAGCTCCCGAATGCCATGGGGTCTTTGAGCCTCAGCTTTAGTAATATATATATACAGTATATATTGCTCCCAGACCCGAATGGCACTCAGGATCTGAATTTCCGAATTGCATTCGGGAGCAATAGTATTAATATCTGTATATGGTTTTCTGTGGTATTCGCAACGAATATTCGTAAAGTTATCCGAAACGAACATAAATTCGTATTTCATCCGAATCTGAAACCCGGATCGAATTTCAGATCCAAATCCCGAAATATCCGAACCAAACCGAATTTTTCTGCAGCTTACTTGTCTAGCCCCCACTCTTCCTGTTGGGTTTTTAAAGCCTAACTCCACCTTCTGCTCGCCTCCCCATACCCCATGTTAATTTATTTTTTAGAAAAAACGCTACTCATCCTCTGCACCTTCCAGTGCTGCCTTTTGCTCCCTTCTCTGGTCATTGGTGCTCTTCTAGGTCAAAATGACACCCAGCATCATTCAAACACTTGTGGTGAACCCAAGGATGTCAAATGACACACCCCTGCGAGCAGCAACGTCACACAGTTTGGGCTCACACTACAATCATGCAAAGCACTGTGCTCACCTGTCACAATATCAACACTGTTCTGTGGAGCATCAAGCTTCACTGACATTGGAGAAGAAGGACCTTACTCGTCATGTGACCACCAGAAGACCCGGGAAATTAAGATATGTTTGCTGCAAGTTTTTTTTACACAATTTACTGCAGTGAGGAGTTTTCCCCTAAACTAGAGCCCGGCTTTATCAGCTAGGGACATGTCATCTCACCACTGATGTCCCCTAAGGTAATAAGAAACCACAGGGTGGGTACCCTCAGCAGCCCAGCGAGCCATTCTAAATCTGTTGTTTCACAGTATCATCAGCTACATCTGTTTCTACGACCGCTGAGCTTAAACAGGACTTAAAGTCGGGCTGCCGGGAAGGGGTTATGTAAGGCTGTGGGATTTAGGGCTGCAACTTCCAGGCTACTTTTAATTGAAGGAGACAAAACATCTTTAAATTATTTGTAGCGGATTCAGGCTGGAGTAATGGGAGAGCCGGAGAAAAAAAAAGTCATGTAAGAGACAAGCGCAGAGAGCCAGAGCTTCTCACAGGAAGACTGAGAATTCCTCGCACAGGAAAAACTATTGGACAGTGGTTTACCCAGATCAAACCAGGTACCGGCTCCATGGCTGGTATCCCAAGGACAGTTCTGGTTTTAAACATTTGTCCCTAGAAATCTAGGAGTTTTTTTGCTGTAAGCCAGATTGAACCTCTATCAAAAATGGAGAACGGGTCCACCCAAAAGTGATTGACGGGCAGGGCTTTGGCTTTACACAATATCTGGAGAATGCGGGTTGGTGGGACAAGTGGTTTGGCTGAAATGTTGGGTCTTCAGCCAGTCTTGGCCATGCCGGAGATACATCCGTCAAACTGCTGATGGTAATGAGGCTCCGATGGGGATTGAAGCTATTTAAGTTAAAATGTATTTATACAAGAAAACGTTTTTATATTCTGAAGCAATAAATAGGCTTCTGTGTATAAAATGTTCTGTTTATAAAGTATTGTGTGATGGGTTAACCACTTCAAGACCAGGTGTTTAGACCCCCTTCCTGGCCAGGCCATTTTTCAGTGTTCAGCGCTGCGATACTTTGACTGACGTTTATTCCGTCATGCAACGCTGTACTGAAATGAATTTTATACCATTTTTTGGGGACAGATAGGGCGTTATTTCGGTGGTATTTAATCACCACTGGGGTTTTTATTTTTTATTATAATTAGGAAAAATTACAGAAAATTTTGAAAAAAAAAAGTTTTTTTTACATTATGTTAGGAAACATTTATTATTAACCAGTTTTTTGGTAAAATATAAAAGTCGGGGTCACGTCGGGTAAATAGACACCAAACATGTCAAGCTTTAAAATTGCGCGCACCCGCGAAATTGCAGAAAACTACCATACCCAAAATTGGCCATAGGCGACACCTTAAAAGCTTTTACCGCTCATCAGTTTAGTGTTATCAGTGATTGATGGCGCTAGACTTATTGCTCTCACCCCGACGTTCGCGGCGATATGCAACATGTGCGGCGCAATCGTCTTTTTCGCACGTATGCGCCCCCGACGCATGTTTGCATGCGTGTATGTATGGGTGGGGACTTTAAAAAATTTTTTTGTTTTTTTAATTCTTTTTTTATGTGTAACTTTAAATTTGGGGGGGGGGAACTTAATTTTTTTTTTTCCTTTTTTTTTTTCCCACTAAACTTTATTGCTATCACATACGGGGGCTAATAAAACCCCCTTATGTGATAGCAAAATATGTGACAGGTCCTCTTTATGGAGACATCAGGGGTCTCCAAGACCCCTAATGTCACCTAGGACCCCCCAAAAGAAGCTGATGAAGCAGAGATCTGCTCCATCAGCTTCTTTGCAGCTTCTGAAGCTGGAGAGTGACACAAGAATGCGGAAGTGATGTATTATACAACACTTCCGCATTCTTGCAGAGGAGAGGGGACCGGAGAGAGCTCGTGTACCGAGCTCTCTCTGATCCCCTGTGACACAGCCGACATGCTGATCCCGGGCTCGCACCGGGGCACAGCGGAGCCCGGGATCAGCGGGACAACGGCAGGGGGGCGCCGCGGAGGGGGGGCGCCCCGATCGGCACCCCATACACGCGATCCGCCGGCTCTAAAGCCGGCGGATCGCTTGTATGGTATCAGGCATCGCTGCCTGTTTTTAAAAAACGGCAATTTCCCGCTCGCGCGCGCCGAGGGGCGCGCGCGAGGGGGCGTGTCTGAGCGGACGTCTAGAGACGCCCGCTCAGATCTAGAGAGCTCCGGGCCGGCCGTTTTTCTACTTCGGCCGGCCCGGAGGCAGTTAAAGTAGAACGAAAGCCCAAACTTTTCTTTTTAGCTTTGGATGAAGCAGGGGCTGTGATGTCATCGCGCATGCGCGGTCATCTAATTGACACCTGCCGGCGGCCATCTTAGTGACAGATGCCGGCAGAAAGAGGAGGGGACATTCACCCGGCGGGATGAAGTATACCGCCGGGTCCCCTCCTGTCTTCTGACACTGTTGGGCTCTCGGTCCATGACCGAGTGCCCGACTTTTTAGAGGGGGTGACACAAAAATGACTGTCAGTCATTTTGGTGTTGCTCCTCCAATGGTGTCACCTGGGTGTGGGCCGCACCCCCCTTGTGACGCCACTAGGATAAGGTAAGGGAGGGTTATAACCCGTCAGCTTCTTTTTGCCAAATAGGGAGATTTCACTTCACTTCCTGTCCAATAGTCACAATAAGAAGTGAGAGGAAATCCTTCCAAAGTAAGCAAAATCTCTGGTGGTCAGCAGGGTCACCAGAACTTACAGTATGTCCCCATTGGAAGATTTCCCATCTATCCCTGTTCTGATGACAACCCAAAATTTGGGGTTTTCTTTCACTTTTAGTGATAACAGTCAGTCACCAGGACAAATAGAGAGGGCGGATCCCTCTAAAGAGGACACAGCAACAAAAACCTGATAGAGTGGAGAGGGATCAGAACCCCTATCTAAGACAAAAAAAAAAAAGTTTGGCTTGAGCTGCACTTTAAAAAAAGACTTGCTTGGTAGATTTGACAACAGGGAGTTAATGATGTTCCCCACCCATTCTCCCAAGAAACCCATCTGCCTCTCCTAGTTAAATTCTATAGCCTCAAGTGACCGAAATATATACAGTATATATATATGAGGCACATGTGTGACAGCACCACAAGGAAACAGCTCACAACAGATGATGAGACATAAAGGGATCCTATAATGCTTCTGGGT